CTAGTCCTTAAATCTGCTGTTTGAATCTTGCATGCAGACAAAGTATTGGGTGCCTGTAGGTATGCCTACGTTTCAGGCATTGAGACGGTAGAATACGAAAAATTTGGTATATCTATATAGCCAAATTATGTTTACCTCATCTTCAGCTCACCATTTGCACAGGTCTTCGTGTTGTGGTACTTCTGGACTTCATGTGTTTCTTTCACATCTCCCATGTATTTCCACAACGCTGTATCATTTGGCTCCTCTGAACTCAACTGTATCTCCCTGCTATTTGATGTTTTTATGCCGATGAACATCTCTCTATGCACTACTGATAAATCTTACCAGTAGCACTCGCCACTTTAGAGGCTGACGGTATCGACGTTCGCGGATTGTACGAAGTATACTAACGAAAGATCAAATACGAACAACTTCTATAGTATTCGTTCCTCATGGACCAAAGGCAAAACAAGAGACTAGAGTTAATCGCCCAAACTACGAGATATATTTCGGAATCAAATTGTAGACAAGATGATTGCTTAACTGGCTGGTGATCGTGCACGAACGTGACACGACGGAGCACCAAATGGCATGGATGCTTGACTGGGAGGCTTCAGCTAAACAATTCGACTTAAACAGTGAGAGGCAGCATCCTATGTTCAGTGATGATTGTTGTGGTCAAGAATTTTGGGGAATTATTTACCGCTACACCACGGTATGACCAATACACCTTCATCCAGGACTAAAGCTTGCCTGGTATTCAAGGGTTTGTTTCTCTCAAGTGCCACGGAAGATTACCGTACCTAAAGTTTCGGGTTAAGCTTCACCCCCTGTGATTATCACGGGAAGCCTCATCTCCTTTTTATAAATTTATATAGTCAGTTTTTTACACCGATTTGATTCCTACATAACCCAAACAACAGTTCAACACCAGCATCCTTAAGCACCTGTCAAGTCATTCCATTAAATCCATCTGCCCTGTTTAGTTTTGAATTAGAGATAGCTTTCAAAAATTCACTTTTCATTGAACGACTACTATCAACATCCTAATCAGGTAAGTGGTGAATGCTGTAGGCTGTAGGCTAGGTTAATTGCCCCTCAAAGTGTTCCTTCCAGCATCCCAGAATTCTATCCTGTGAAATAATTACAGCACCACTTTACTCGTGAATAGTCTGGAGTATCATTTGTCTTCTACAACTTGTTTTCCAATAAGCATAATGTTAACTACCGCGGATGAATTCCCACCTCTTTTGCTTTAGATGCCTACCACCGTTCATGGACGTCACGAAGGATTTTAGTCAGCTTGGATTAGAGCCGCTTCATCCTTCTCTCTTCTTGTATCTGTCGGCTCGGCCTTAGCATTAGCCATTCACCAACACGTCCTGGGTGCGAATCAACCCGCTACTCCCGCACCACGTTAGGCCCGTCAACTTGGCAGCAACATTAGCCCCTGGGTGAAAACTTACAACCCTAACTCAGTAAGCGCAACTCACACCTTACAAAACATACTTCCAGAGTGAGCAATATCTAAATGGAATGTGATCATCTAAAATGAATCGAAATTTGATATCACAGCTTCAAGTGCGCAATCGGAACTTAACAAAACACGGTTAGAAAATTCGATGATATAACAAGAGGAATTATTTTCTAGCCACAGTTTAGTATATCTTGTATAAATAAGGATAACATGTACAGTAATGCATAGAACCTGAAGGTCATAAGTATGTAAATCGGCTAGTTCTGTACGATTATTTATGCAGTTACATATCCATTCATTGACTGAGACAACATACAGATTGTTTCAAACAAATGAAATAGGAAAATCGCAAGTCTAGGTTGTAATACCTACCAGAATTTTAAAGGAAGAAATTAAAGAAATATGTAACCACAGTACTGAAAGAATATATTCATGTCACTGAAACCTACCAGTATACCCGGTTGGAAAGAAAATAAGAGTATATGAAACTTTGATTGACTTAGATACGTTTTCTAGTGGACCACTGAAGTCATTTATTTAATTACTATCTTCAGACCGGTAAATAAATAAACCACCATCTTCAAATACTATTTTGTTACAAAACACTTTTACATATTCCCAGAAATCGGAACAATGATTCAAAGACTGCTAAATCATTTATTTATTCATTTATAATACAGGGTAAGCACTACTAAGCTCAGAGCACGAAAATATAACCCGATATATTAAGGAGACAAACACATAGCGGAATATGTAATAAAATATACTAACTACATATTACAAGTGGACAAAAATATGAGATGAAAACCAATATAAGGGGAGGGGCTGTCGAAGAATCTAATGAACAATAATTAACCTTGGAAAGATGTGAATACGTCGGTTCTGTTGTCACCGACTTCCGCGTATGACATTCAGCTATTCACTGTGCACGGTTAAATCTGCTGTTGTTGCTGCGTAAACTTAATCACCGGGAACACATGTTCAAATGTCCGGATATACTGAGAGCCAACGATAATACTCGGTTATCTAGGCTGACGCTCGCAAGCAAGATCCCATGTCGGCTGCATAAGCACACGAGCCAAATTTGGCTGAAGTGATTCTGCAGAACAAACCTAATAGGCTTTGAATTACTGCAAATAATACCGTAAAAAGCAGAGTGCCATTTCCTCCGCAATTACGAGTCACTTCAGAATCACTTCTTAACTGACACACCAATGAAAAAATCGTTCCAAATAAAACTTTTGGGGCAACTAAATGAAAAATATTTAGGGAAATTTTGTGAGAATGCTTCCCTTTTTCTCCGAACTTCTTTAAAAACCAGACTCCGGGAGCACTGCAGAAACTCTGACGAAGACTGAGGATTACTGTCTCACTTTCTGCAATGAGGCCAAAGATTTTTACCCTGAGCGTTTCACAGTATGCCGGAAGAAAATGTCAACAGGGAAATTGCCAGAAAATTTTTTTCTGGAATCAGGTCACAATTTGGGGGCATTATTGTAAACCTGAGAATCATAGATTTCAGTATTACACATGCCATACATCTCCTCCAGAGAGCAAGTCGTCAAGCCCAGTATAGCTGTGTTTAATTGACAGCCAGCTTAAAATGAACCGGAAAACTCAACAAGTAAACAAGTAAGACAACATAAGAAGTTGCACGGATAAAACACGTATATTGGCCTTATTCACATAGCTGTCTACCTATTTATTACACCACGCGCGAAAAAATCTTGCAGTTTCCCCTATCCGCGACAACGCTTACAAGTGGCATTTTGTCAAGCGAAATTACTCTAGCGAATTGAGAATTTTCGTCTAAAGTTCACCTGTATGCAGCTGAAATAGGAAAAGTTTCCATTTATATGGTAAAATGTGTTGTATTTTGAATTATAAACCGCCTAGAGGGAGAGACAACCTTTAATGACTGCTTTACTCTGCGTATATATGATGCAGGTATCTATATTTCTGTCGGAGGGTGTTGAAATATTGCTATTACAAGGAGAAATAATTGATGAATTGACAGTGTAGCGGTAGGTAATTCCCCAGAATTATTGGCCACAGCATTCATCACTCAACGTTGGATGCCGACCCTCACAGTTTAAGTTAACTTGTTTAGCTGAAAGCTTCCGGTCAAGCGGTCATGCCATTTGGCACGCCATCGTGTTACGTTCGTTCGTTCGTACACGATCCTTAGCTAGCTAAGCAATCATCCTCGTACTCCGATTTGGTGCCGAAACATAATTCAAAATTTGGCTGAACAATTTTGGTGTTTTGCTTTGCCTTTGATCTACGCAGAACGAATACTATGGAAGTTGTGGATATTAGATTTTGCGTTGGTTTACTTCGTCATACCCTCAGCCTCTGAATATCCTACATTAATGGGTTATACCGTCTTGTTGTGGATATCTGTCTACCACACTTTTCGCCTTACCCAGCGCCATGGATGAAAAACAGTTTAGATTTTCTCACGTGAGAAGAATGGTCAAAGTGTTTCGTTAACGAAATTCACAATACCATTAAATTTTTAGAGAGTTTGATCAACTTTTTTATATGCGCTGAGACAGATAAATGAACACTGTCTCGGATAATGGATTTTTAACGAATAGACATGCGGTAATACCCCATACTTTCGATTCGGATCCCATGATCCACATCTAGTTAAGTCGATCATCTTTCTGGTTAACAATCTGCCAGTGAAATGACAACTATCTAACAGCGTGGAATCTCTGGAAGTAAATCTTCAGCCGAAAGCAAACTGGCGCTAAGTATTACTTAAGATGGCTGATGCTCTCCAGCCCTTACTGAATTCCAGGTCTCTCAGTGTGGAAATTTGTCGATCTTATGACACATCTCTCCTGTTGAAATAGAGTGTCAGTGGCAAATCCTGTAAGCATCTGAGTTTTCTGCAATCATTTGTAATTATTTGATAGCACACACCCATTAGAGTTGATTAGGCTCTGCTAGTTAGTGCAGTCAGTACCTTGGTTTTCTGAACCATTAGAGGTTTGCTTTGCTCAGGAGACTAATTCTAACACTACACGCAATACCACTTCACGATTCTTCAGCAGACAGTCCAAGCCTACTAATCTCAACCTCTTTCAAACAGTTTGGGAAACACCAGTTCCAGGATCCATGAAAAATTCTCACAAACACTAGGATGGCTTCCTCACCAGAAAAGCGGGAGAAATATTCTCTGATGGAACCTCATGAAGTTAATTTTTCAAAGGCTTTGCTAAATATTTTTTGTTGTTGACCAGAAGTGCCACAAAAATTTACGAAGCAATGAATACGTATTTTGAATGTAGGCTACCAGTGCAACGCCTGATGTGATACAGAGTCTGAGATAGTAAATTAAAGTACTTTGGAAAGTTCTTCCGGGTGTTTCGAACACATTGAAAATGTTGACCTCGCCAAGGAGAAATAGTTTGGCGTTGTCGAGATGATTTTGTTTGAAACCTCTCAAAGGTAACGACCGATGGGCCGGCGGGGTTTTTGGATTCGAGGGAGCTAGTTTGTTGTATGATATCCACCTTTTTTTGGGGACAGGATGTCTGAAGTTTTACTGAATGACTCAAGTGTGAAACAAGAGTACTTCGAAGATGAAGAAAACTTGTTGAAAACGGATGTATTTGACTCAGTACCGGAGACATTGTCAGGTGAACTAGCTGAGATTGGATTTGACAATGGATGTCCGGGTGTTGTTGGTCGTGATCCTTATGGTGATCTATTTTTAATGGATCCCAATGATTTGTTAGGAGTCAGAGAAGAGGTGATTGGAAATGACGTGAGTAACAGCCCAGAAAGTGTGCCTGTATGTGATCCCACAATAGTAACTGCAGATGAATCAAATGATACTGCGAATGAACGCGTTAATCAACGGCGAAAGAAAACAAAGAATCGCCATGTCACTTTATCCAAACTAGATATTGACAATCGCGATCCGTCGGACTTAGATGACAGTAGTCAAGGTACTGGATGCTCACGGACAAAACTATCACATACCTACTCACCAATCAAACTTGATTCTGACGCAGTTTTGAGTAAGCCATCAAAATTTTTTTGCATGATCTGTAGACAATGTGCCTTGTGTTGTATATAGCAATTCGTCTAGTGGGAAAGGCTTCGTGGTGAATCGCAGGTACTCAGCATCAATGGGTCACAAGCAAATTCATGTTTGGCATGGACAACCCCGTTATAGGCGTCATTTAACGCTTGGCAGTGGTTCTAATATTTCAACACGATATCTTCCTCAAAGTAAGTTGCGCGTTTGGTACATGAGGTGAAATTTATAGCTTTTTAGTGGATTTAGTAGGACGTTTGACGCTTGTTTGGCTTGTAATGTTAGTCTTGGGGCTTTCTTTTGCTTCAGTTATCGCTGTCTTTTACACATTGTTTTACCGACCAAAACATTCTATATATTCATCCCGTTCGTTCATGTAACTTTTGTTGGCCTTAACTTTAACATAAGCAAGTTCTGTCACAGTCAATATCATTCCTGTTAATAGTTGTAGCGATCATCATTGTATGTGAGTCCAAGTCTATGCAATGATCTTAGGGAATTTAGACGTTTTTCTTGCTGATGAAAGCCATACATACTGCGTTTACATATTGTGTTTTGAGTATTCAAATTATTTCGTAAGCAAATGCAATATGAACTTCAATAAAAGCACAAGCTTAGTATTTAACGCTTCTCAACTACTCGACAGTCTGAGATTGAAAGAATATGTATATATCGCACGCAAGCCGATTTCATATGATTTTAGTGGTCAATTAGAATTTGGTCATCTCTCATGTATAATTTAATGTTCACGAATTTAAAACCAGGTATGACAGAAACTTATAAGGCCTTGAGACCTCAATAAGTTCATAGCTAGTGACTAATATTTGATTCGGTGGCATGTGTCACGTAAATAGCTATTACCTAATGCATGGACAGTAAGTCGCAAAGGTTATCCAGTTTCCGTGAAGCTTGAGAGCATTGTTAAGCACCCAGTCGTATTTACAGGTAGATGATCAGGATTGTTGAAAGTACTTGACTCATGTTGGCTGCTTATGTACATTAGAATTTCGGCACTTCATTTCGTGATATATGAGTAAATTATCGTAAGGACCCTGGAGATGTCGACGTAGTATCATCGATGTGTAAGTCATTCTGTCGTAACCTTTTGCAAGCATTAAGTTTCTGTATGCGGCAAGCAAATTATTAGTAGAGCAATAGTCGTCACCTAAACCATGCTTCTCAGGAAGACAAATAGTTATCGGCCTAATATGTTTTTTAAGTCATCCTAAACCAACATTTTTGTAATAGAATAAAGCTTGTGCACTGTGGTAGAGTATAATTCCACTATGGGTAAAATGTATTTTGATAAAGACTCGCAGTGTTATGCAATAATGTTTACTGATGACGTTTCGAGCACGATTTGTTGCTCATAATCATATCAAAGTACTCACTCAAATTTTTAACTTCGTCTATATAATTCCATTATTTTCCATCGCTTGATTTGATTGGTAGTAGTAATTTACATATTTCCGGTATGAGTGATGAGTCATTCCTATTGCATGTGTTGGGTGTAGACTCGATGAACAAGGATTCAGTAATTAACCTCTCTCTCCACCAACGTAATATTACTTCTTAGAATGTTAACCCTCTCCCACAATATTGTGTGGTTGTGTGTTAATGCATGCAGTGCAGTTGCTGAGCTTTTTTCTAAATTGCTTATCTTCTGGGGGTCAACCTTTCTTGTCTTGGCTAAATCCTTATGTTCTGACAATCTAACCACTCCCGACCTACAAAGCTTGTTCCTGAGGTAGGTTAGAGGACCCAGTTGACCCTATTAGACAAAATAATGTAATTTGGAAAATACCCTGCAATGACTGTGAGGTCAAACCAGTAGGTCGGGAGTAGTTAGATTGTCAGAACATAAGAATTCAGCTAAGATAAGGATGGTTGACCCCGAGAAAATAAGCAATTTAGAAAAAAGCTCAGCAACTGCACTGCATGCATTAACACACAACCACACAATATTGTGGGAGAGGGTTAACATTCTAAGAAGTAATATTACGTTGGTGGAGAGAGAGGTTAATTACTGAATCCTTGTTCATCGAGTCTACACCCAACACATGCAATAGGAATGACTCATCACTCATACCGGAAATATGTAAATTACTACTACCAATCAAATCAAGCGATGGAAAATAATGGAATTATATAGACGAAGTTAAAAATTTGTGTGAGTACTTTGATATGATTATGAGCAATAAATTGTTCTCAAAACGTCATCAGTAAACATTACTGCATAACACTGCAAGTCTTTATCAAAATAAATTTCACCCATAATGGAACAACTTTTTTCTTTTCAACATGGTAAACAGTTTGAAAGGGTTTAAGACTTCTAATCACCGTCACGTTTTTGTAACTCTGTAAACAGTTTAAAGTTGGGTATGTGTTGCACATGTATTTCCTCACAAGCAATTTTCAATGAAGTCAGTTTCTATTGGGTGAAACCTAACTGGCCAAGAAATAGCAGAAAAATTTCAGAAATCACAAAGAACGCTTAATATCAGAAACTCTTCATATCGAATGAAATCCGAATTGTCTGAATAGGAATGATGGACTAAAACAGAATTTGACTTGGTTACAACACTTCCCTACCCTATGAAATGACAAAATCAACACGAATGTGATAAGCAATTTCATTATATAGACGTACGCTGCTTTTATAATTTTACACTTATCAAATCCAACATTCTGCACCTGGTTTTGTTATTTTTACCAATTAGCCAACTTGACAACACAAAAATGACCCCGTGCTGAGGAACGATGATTAAGTTGTTATATATATATATATATATATATATATATATATATATATACTGAGATTCTGTAAATTCTGGTTTAATAATACTTTGGTAAAGCTATTAGCATTAAATAGCGAAACGTCAGTGAAAACAATATTGTTTTGTTTTTCATTCATTAGGAAATAAAAAACTTTATTTTTGAATATTGGTTCCACTTGTGTACAGAAGTGTAGGTCACTGTTAGATGACTAAAATTGGTTAGATACTCTGTGTGGATAACTCAAAATCAGTGACGGATATCTCCCTGCTATCTTTATTTCTGTATCATTTAAGTATTTGTTTCGCTTACTTTCGTCTTACTGTGCAGTTGTATTCTCCTGTAATATTGTTTCCCCTCTTTCCTTAAAATGTAGGACAATGTGAGCAATGCAGAGTCATGTGTAGGTACTTTCCATCCGTCTTAAACTAGGTTTCATTTCAATTGTTCATCATGTGTAGGTATGTATGCATATATATAGTCATTATTTCGAAGTCATATATAGGGCTATCTGTGCTTTGCTATGCTTGCAAAGTAAATTAGGATTCAAGCATCAAATAATATGAAGCTGGTTCACTTACTCCCAGCCTTCTAAATTTTTCTTGATTGCCACTCATTTTCATTTATTCATAGTATTTTCTGACTGTTGTTTCCTCCAGTTTACCGTCACATGGCATAATGGCTCATAGCGGAAAAGTTTTGTGTGTTGTGTGTGAGCTCCTGGTCTACTGATCTACCAAGTCATTTTCTTATCCAGTCATTACTTTGAATTAAAGCACTAACTGTTCCGTGTTTATTCATTGTGTTTAAGAATATTTTATTGCCAATCAATTTCACTTTCACTTATATGCATTTCATCAGCTTATCGTTTGGATAGTTCCCAATCAATTCAGGGGCATTCGCGAATAACTTTCAGACGTTTTCCACAATCTGTTGTCCAACCTTCTAATGTGGATGATTCTGAAACATTGTTTGTTGCAGGTCCTCGAATTAATATTGCTAGCGCTAAGCATGATACATTTCCACCTAGTGGATCAGTTTTTACCGTTCTCAGCCCAAATGCGAAACATCAAACAGTCACCTGCCAAACAAACCAACTACCCACTATTGCTCCTGCCCCGGGAAGTTTAGAATCTGCAGGATCTAACGAAATCAATTCTGGTATTTACACTTCTAATTCTGGCAACATGCTCCGTACCGTACCCTGTCCGCATAAGGGTTGTGGCAAGCTTTTTCGTGATAACTCCGCAATGCGCAAACACTTACACACGCATGGTCCACGAGTACATGTTTGCGCTGAATGTGGAAAAGCATTTGTAGAATCTAGCAAACTGAAAAGGCACCAATTGGTTCATACGGGTGAAAAGCCTTTTCAGTGCAATTTCGAGGTGAGTTGAGTAATGCTATACACGAATGATTTTTTCTCTTTAACTATGACACAGGTATATGTACAGTGACCGTCTCCATCGTACTCTATTATGTCGATATATGGACTAGGTTTATTAGTGAAACTCCATCAACATTGCAAAGTTGTGGTATTAAATGCATGCCAAAACTATTTATTTATTTATTATTATTATTATTGTTCCCTTGGGTTCCTAGTGGAACATAGGGCTTCAACTGCACGTCTCCACTTGTTGCTGTCTTCTGCTGTGCTTTTCACTTGCATCCATGTTAGTCCATACTGTTTCAGTTCCTCATCACACGATCTTCTCCATGTCACCCTTGGTCGTCCCACTCGCCGCTTCCCTTTCGGGTTCCACTCGAGGGCCTGACGCGCGATGTCACCCAGCGGCCTCCTCAGCGAGTGTCCAATCCATCCCCACTTTCTCCTGCATATTTGTTCAGCGATTGGTTCTTGTTTTGTTTGTTCCCATAGTTTCTTGTTGGTGATTCTTTCCGGCCATTTGATCTTGAGTATAAAACGAAGGCAGTTGTTGATGAAGGTCTGCAACCTGTTGGAAATATTCTTTGTGACCCGCCACGTTTCTGATCCGTATAGAAGAACTGACTGACTTGACGTTTGTATTGAAAATCCGAATTTTGTTGTTGAGTGTGGCTGAGTGACGAAGATTTCCAGATTGGTTTCAGGTTGATGAATGTGTTTCTCGCCTTCCCGATTCTCGATTTGACATCCTCGTCCGTTCCTCCTGTAGTTGAGACAATGCTCCCTAGATAAGTGAAAGAAGTAACCTCTTTCAAATCCCTCCCGTTGATGGTGATTGGCAATGGATGTTGCTGTTGTTGTTGTTGGTTGGTTATTTTCATAACCTCCGTCTTGTCTATGTTCACCTGGAGTCCTGTCTTTGCTGCTTCTTCGACCAGTTTGTCGGTTTTTGCTTGTAAGTCTTCGATTTTGTGTGACATCAAACATAAATCATCTGCGAAATCCAGGTCTTCTAGGTTCTTCACGTCGGTCCAGGATATCCCTGTCTTCTCGTTTCCCACTGTCTGACGCATAATGCAGTCCACCACAATTAGGAATATCATTGGTGATAATAAGCACCCTTGTCTGACTCCTGTGTTTACTCCAAACGCCTCGCTGAGTTTTCCGTTGTGGATCACTTGACATGTGCCGTTGTCGTACAGTTGTTGAATAAGGTTGATGAATATTTGGGGTACGCCGTAGTACTCGAGTAGTTTCCAAATTACTTCGCGGTCAACGCTGTCGAAGGCCTTCTCAAAGTCTATAAAGTTGAGGTAGAGGTTTGATTGCCATTCCATGCTTTGTTCGATGATGTTGCGTAGAGTAGCAATTTGGTCAGAACATGATTTGCCTTTCCTGAATCCAGCTTGTTCTGGTCGGAGTTCTGTGTCCAGTGCGTCCTTGATTCTCTCCAGGATGATGCGACTCAGGATTTTACTTGGCGTCGACAGGAGCATGATTCCTCGCCAGTTCTTGCAGGGTCCCAGGTCGCCCTTCTTTGGTAGTTTCACGAGGTCACCTTTCCTCCAGTCAGTAGGCACCTTTCCCTCCTTCCAGACCTTTTGCAATAATGGAGTCAGCATATCTGCTGTCGTCTCCGGGTCCGCTTTCAGTGCTTCCGGGGGTATTCCATCTGGTCCAGCTGCTTTTCCAGCTTTGAGAAGCTTGATTGCATTCAAGACTTCAGCTTTCGTTGGAGGATTGATATCAACTTGCAGTTGTGTACGTGCTGTTGTTGGTATTACTGGACGGGTTGCAGGTGGTGGTCGGTTCAAGAGTCCTTTGAAGTGATCTGCCCATTGTTTAATCTGTCTTTCTTCCTTGGTATTTGGGTCCCCTTGACTGTCTTTTATAGGTCTCACTTGTGTTGATCTCTTCCCGGATAGAGACTTGGTTATCTGATATAGTGTCCTCGGGTCACTTTTGCCTGCTGCCTTCTCAGCTTCAGTTGCCAGGTTGTCGTAGAATTGTCTTTTGTCCTTCCTGGCACTCTTCTTCACTTTGTCCAGTACTGTGTAAGCTGAACTCAGCGTCTCCTTCTCTTGTCCGTCTTTGCATTGAATCATTTTCTCTTCCACCATTCTCCTCTATTAGCTTCCAAGTGTCTGTTGAGAGTCATTCCTTATCTTGTGTCTTCTTTCTTCCTAAAACCGTTGAACACGTTTCGTTGAAAATCACCTTCAGAGAGTTCCAATGGTCTTCCACGCATGATTCTTCCGTGATGTCACGTAGTGTTTCCTGCTTTTCTCTGACAGTTGCAGTGAAAGTGTCCTTTTGGGTTGTGTCATGGAATACTTATATTCACATGGATTGTGGCATTTTCACTTAGGGTCTCAGCATCTTCCTTCATATAGGTTACTTTTACTAGTCAGTATTTTTTTAGTCATTTTCTATCATTTAAGGATTTCTAGCATTCTGAATATAATTCGAAAAGTTTCTGACTGGGAGTATACTTTAGTGAAAACTAAAACACGTAGTTTCGCGAATAGGCTCCTTTAGGCGAATTCATTTTCTTTAGCTGTACAATCGCATTTAGAAATAATTTTTCATTAAAGAAGATAGCAGTGAAAGTGAGTTTTCACAATTCGCTAAAAAAGCCTCTTCACTGAACCACGTTTTTTGTTTTCATTGACCTCTGAGTGGGGATTTTTCATGAATTTAGAAGTATTTTTGGTATCATTGGTAACAAAATAATTTCATGAAATCGGTTTATTCATATTTTTTCTTCATATCGATATTTTAAGGGTTGCGGCAAGCGCTTTTCCTTGGATTTCAATCTGCGAACACATGTACGTATTCATACCGGTGATCGCCCCTATATATGTCCATTTGAAAATTGTCATAAACGTTTCGCTCAATCGACAAATTTAAAATCTCATATCATGACTCATGCCAAAGTTAGATATCGGTAAGTTTAATCGAATAACTTTCAGTTATATGCGTTAGTTATCTGTCAAATTTATCTCGGAAATTGTCTGATGTCTGAGTTAAAAAAGTTTTTACGTGGTCAATCTGGTTTTATTATCTATTTGTAGCTAAACGACCCTTTTTTTATTCCTTCACGTTCCCAGTGGAACATAGGGTTTCAAGCTAGAGGCTTGAAGTTTCTTTAGCAGAGGACTTGTAGAATCTGTATCCTCATCCCTGGAAAAGGCAAACATGTAAAACTGTATGGAAAGGTCTGTATTTGTTTGCCTGATAATTACGTGATCATTGGCGTACAGTGTGGTCAGCTGAATCTAGAACGAAAATCCATCGTATTAGAGCAGACTAGGAAAAAATTCAAAGTTGTGTATCTCATTGGATGACTTGCAGCTTACGTGATAATACTGTAGATGTTCATGCACTGTATACTTTGTTTGCAGTATAGCAACGGGATAGAGTTTTCATAATGAATATAATTTTAAGTTTGATATCACTTTACGTCTAAGTAAAAGCATCACAATATTGTGCTAAATAGTAATAATTCCGGTAGAAATCTGAGATGTTTTTCATGTTTTATCGAATTTCGGAGCTCTAGGATAGGATTTACCAACCTTATATACCATACGGGCTATCATCGCGATCATTCCTGGACCAAATTAGAAGGAACTTATTTCGTGAGTGATGTCTAGTGCTGGCTTTTAGTAATTTGTGGGCTCCTAAAGTGTTTACAGTCAGCGTTTAGATTCACCTCAGTATAATCAATTTAGATCTTTAAAACATTTTATGAGTTTTTGTTTATTTGTTCCGTTGTCTAGTGGCCCACGTAGCTCTACAACAACCTCACAAACTCCTGGATACTTCTCCGAACTTGAAGAAATACCGATTTCTCAGCCGTCATCAGGGCTAGAAAATACGAGTGAGTCTAATAAAACTTATCATGCTTCCGAAATTGATAGTAGTAACAATATACAAATTAAAAACACATCTGCATACATGGTAGCGTCATCGAACTCAACCAACTTAAAACCAACTTACATAAAGCCTTCGCGTGTTTACACTCGTCCAACACCTATGTCACAGTACGCTGTTCCTGAATCACCACCTCCACTTGCACTTGATGAAACCACTCTATCCGCCGGTTCCAAATGCGAAAACCGAAGTGATCCTTTTATTATAATACCGAAATATATTCAGGGTCAACGGAAACGTCAGAAGACCCTCACTAATCCTAGTGAAGATGGTAACGACGAAGTAAATGATGACGACGATGAAGGGGTGGTAGAAGAAGATTGTTTCATAAAACAGGATTTTGATCGTAGTTTTATTTTATCAGATTCAACTATGGGTCCTGAGTTTTTCGTTGATTCTGGTCAAGATGATCGTGAGATGATTTGGCACACTAACGATTATTCATCTTTAGATCGTTTACATTTGTCTAATTCATTTACAAACTTGAGTCACCAACCGATTATTATGTGCACTCGAGATCAGCGTCGTAGGGTAATTCATCAAAGTACTGCTCTACCGGATTATATATTATGTCGTCAACAAACAATTCCTATCTTAAGATTACCTACTCCTACACGTACTGTTGTTTCTATTGGACGACCGCAACAACCATCCTGATCTTTGTCTTTTAATCTCGAACTTTTTTCAGTCAGTTTTATTGAGTGCTTTCTTTTAATGATCTCATTCTTTTCTTTCCTACCTAATATAGTAATTTTAAAGTATTTAACCTGACGAAAGCTATTTGTATGCAATGGACTCTTCAGATTTCTTTAATTTTTAATTATTTCACCAATTGTTTTATGTCACTTTTATGTTCTGTAAATTAATGGTTTTCTTATTCACTAAATAATTTGATTATTTGAGTCCTCATCTCTTTTTTTCCTTTATCTGTAATTTGTGCCTTCGGCATAACTTTGTATAGATAAAGATTGTTACACACAATCTTAACGCACAGTGGTCAGAATGTATGACACTAATATACTGTCTTATTGTTTTACTAAGCTTTCCTTTTTTTTACCACACCTACTGGTGAATTCATACACCTGTTTTAAACCTGATCCCTTTATGTTCCACAGCGAGTTATATCGTATGGTGCTGTCGTACATAGTAAGTTCAAAGTATTTAACCTGATTAGATCTATTTGTATGCAATGGACTCTTGAAAATATTTATTTCTTCATGCCTTCTATAAGACTGTACGACAAGTACGTGTATGGTCAGAATGTCAGAAATGTGTTGCGCAATACATTACACGTTTCAGATAAACTACGTCTTGTTGTGCTGTCGAAATATTTATTTTTTAATTATTTTATGTCCTGTAAATTAATGGTTTTCTTATTCACATTAGCCTGAATGTATGGCAATAATATGCTGTTTTATTGTTGACTAAGCGTTCCTTTTTTTACCACACCTACTGGTGAATTCATACACCTGTTTTAAATCTGATCCCTTTATGTTCCACAGTGAGTTAAATTGTGCTGTGCTTCAAGGAAATTACGTTTGTTTTTTCCAATAATATACGTGAAGTTGTTTTTGTGTACAGACTTTTGAATAATCTGTGATTTTTGGGATCCTAGTTTATTGATATGAGGTTTTTTTCCCATCAGACATTATTTTCACTTTGCAGTGATATACAATACATGCTATGAAGACTACTTCATTCCTGAATTGTTATTAAAACTAAACATTTTGAATTTTCTTATAAATTGCATTCAATAAGTTATCATTTTGCTGTTTCCTGTGTATCATGGGTCCTTTAAATGTGTTTCAATGCTTCAAAAAAAATTTATTTTCAACTCACTGTATTTTTTATTCAATGTTTTGCACTGTTAATTTAACATGACCATGTACAGTCAAAACATAGTTAATATTGTTGTTAACTTTTATACCTATCTCCCGTGATAACAAATGAGTGTTGCAGTTATAGTTGTGTATTATGTTACTTCAATGTATACCATTGCAATGTACTGGATAATTGTAAACGATAGTTTAAAAATGTAACGCTGTGTGTATCCTTTTACTCTAAGGGTGATACGATTAGTTCAGGAAGACAGTTGAAAGAGTGAGTTAGGTGGGGAGACTATCATCCTTTATACCTGATATCACAGTTATAATAAATAATATAGACCTACATGTATGGATGACTTTGGTATGTATATGTGACATTTTCAAAGAAACTTTTGCAATATGCAGTACATGACTACATAACTTCAAACAGTAAAGCTTATGTATTTCGTTTTTTTATTCTTTTACGTTCCGAGTGGAACATAAAGCTTCAAGCTAGAGCTTTGAAGTCTCCATAGCAGTAGTTTTACTTTTACGGGATGGGTTTGCTAGTCTCACACCCAACCTTTCCCTCTTTACCTACCTTACTGCTGGTTTTGGGAGTTCTAGGAATGCATCGGCCGGAAGTCGAACCGCGAGCCACCTGAGTGGTTGGCGAGCGTTCTACCGCGGAACAACTGACGCGTTACTCATCGGTATCTTGGAATGTCATTATTTTATTATTACAGGTTGTGCTAACTGCTAAATTAATTAAAATGAATAGCCAAACTCATCGACCCTGGATAACTTATATGTGTTGGTTTGTTAAAGAAACGTCATCTGTGAAAACCCATGAAAATTCTCTATGGCTTAAGTAGGATTTGAGCACAGTACTTAGTGCTTAGATATATAGTGTCTTAAAGCGGTTACATCCACTATATCTCTCCGAAACTACTGCGCAGATGTTTATCTTGCTAAAGCTTAATCGGAATGTTGAGTAAAAGGAATAATCCTTTGAACATATATTAAGCGTCTTAATACAGAACGAAATGTCGCGCAATAGGAATATAATATTCCAGTTGAAATGAGGATGAGGTCAAAATAAGTTTGCGACACTGATCAATTCCGAACCACGTAACTTAAATTCTTCAGCTGAGCTAATTATGCAGAGATTTTCAAGGTCATATGGTTTTACGTTTGCAGAAAAGTGATGCTCTCTTGGGAGAGGTGGCAATCTGAAAACAGTTGTAAGTTGAGCTTGCCTCCCGCTCTCCTAACTATTGACAGTCAATGAAGAACGAAGTCTTTCTCCACTCTCACAACGAACACTCGATGGACTCACATGAAGATGTCCAGTAGAGTTTGTTGTAGCTTAGAACGTCTTGTTAAAAACCACTAGGTTTCTTGGAGTTCTCTACAACTTCCTCACTCTCAGGAGGCCCTTCCGGTGGGTAGCGACTATAATAATCTGTTATACCCCTACGCATAAGATCAGACAGTGCTTACCTTAGGACAGCGAATCCTGCTGGTCTCGTATCGTTTCTTTAAGTGTGAGTTGTTCTGTTTGGACCAGGCGCCTGTAACTGCATTTGGATATGCTATGAATGGTACCAATGACTGCCTATAGGACTAAATGGTTCAGATCTGTTAATGCATTACGAATACTTGACTGCGGTCAAGAGGGTTATGTAACCCTTGAATTAATGATAATGTTAAGTCCTGGATAATAAGAAATACACTTTTTACTTCAGGACTGAATAAGATTTTATTAGAACAGCCAACTGGCATCATATCATGAATTATCTGATTTCTGAATGATCTACACCATAAACTTGTTCATCACGAAGTAAACAACTGACTATTAATCTTTCTACCGTTTTATTCAGGTCACCAGATAGCGCGTGTTACCAAAGCAAAGCTGAATACAGTTAATAAAAACATACAAACGAATGGCTTTGAATTTGCTGTATTTACATCTGCTGACAGTTTAGTTACAGAAAAACTTGGTTGTTTCCATGCGGCTAACTGGATGCATATTCACTGTCGTCATCGCACTTTATGTTAGATAATCTCTCCTTGATTGAATCGGTCAAATCACCCTCATGGCTTGAAAGGTTTCCTTCAGCTTCATCAGTGCCACTAATTCCCGTTGAATTTTGACTTGACTGAGCCATACGTAGTAGAGTACCTGTGGCAAGGAAAAAGTTCCAAAAACTGGTTAAAATTGATTGCGAAATAAAATGTAACCTCTAGCTAAAGTGGTACAGATAAGTATATTCATCATCACTTGTTCAGTTTAGTAATATGTGCTACAGGTATACATGATTCCCATTGGTATTTGACAAAAATGTTTGTTTAGCCTGAATGATATAATATAAGAAGTGACTGGTTTTCAGTGATCATAACAAGACAGGCCAATATATTTCCTTTCTATAAAGTTAAATTAATAACTTTACCATCAAAGGTATTAATTCAAGACGACATCAGGATTTCAATCTTTCATCTTCATATTGATTTTAGCAACGAAGCTGATTGAATATTAACACGGCTCGATTAGTAGTTTTATGACGGAATGACACTTTTAAGGATGTAAACAAACAATTATAATAGGGGTTGTCATACAGATGATCTATGAGTATATGTTCATATATGTATGTTCAACACATCGATGTATATATATATATATATCATTCCTTAGCGTTATTCAAGTGTTGCCATGATTAGGAATTCTTAGACTTGTAAAAATATGTTGCTTAAGTTAGTCTCTACTCATCGATGTTACTGATAATCTTATTCTCAAACACCAATACCATTTCACTGTTTGTACAAATACGTTTTAGAACTTGTCATTCAATTACACAATACAGTTTGAAATATTCAGTCTAGCAACTTCATATTTTCTACGTTGACCCCAAATGAATTGTATAAAGCGAACTTTTTATATGCATACACTGCAATTACTTACGGCGTTCTCTCTCACGAATATTTTTTATAGCATCAAGAAATTCTTGATTGATGTCTTCTTGCTTCACTGTAGTACTAGACGAATTTAAAGGACAGAAAAGTGAATAATTTATATAACAAAAATGTATAAAACAAAAAATTCCATCACACGTGATTTGTCGTTTAATAACAAATTGTGAAATAAGGTAATAATGCTCTGACTCTTAAAACTGTTTTATAATATCACTCAGTAAGTTCTGCGACTATGATGACATCATTCTGACTTTATTGGAGACAGGCGCGTTCTGTGTAAGAAATTGTCCGTTAAATTTGAGAATAAATAGTGGTTGTGTCAAACCGTCATTCTTCTAGGAATATCAATTGCAACTATTCGGTTACCTTGGTAGTTAAAAAACTGGAATCACTCATAGAGGATCAATCGATTGTCAAAAATTAATCAAAAGTCACTTTATGGGGAACCATACATTATATGGAAAGTGCGTTGGTGACATGAACAAAGCCTGTCTATTTAAAACCTAACTAACAAAATAGTGTACGCGGGCCTTCATTCGTAAATATGTGGATAGAATTTTAACAATTAATGTGATCACTTATAGGAATTTCGCTAAATATATTGTCTAGACCGAATCTTATAATAATGTTAACATTCATGGCATTTTTTTAGCTGGCAACGCATATTACTATTCCCTTGGACTCCAAGTGGAACTTGCATATATCCACTTTGTTCTATTTTCCGCCATACTGTTTAGCTGGGCTAAAGATTGCCCATAATCTTTCATCTCTTCCTTGTACGATTTCTTCCATGACACCCTTGGAAGACGCACTTTCGTTGCTTCCCATTGGGGTTCGACTTGAAGCTTTGGCGTGTGCTTTCATTCGACAGCCTCCTCAACGTGTGCCCTATCTACCTCCATTTTCTCCTACGTATATGTCGAGCGATCGGCTCTTGGTTGGTTTGTTGCCAATTCTTTCTGGTCTACCATTTGATCTTCAGTATGCAGCCAGCGAAGGCAGTTGTTGATAAAAGTCTGCAGCTGGCTGTTGGAAGTCCTTTTCGTGACACGCAGTGCAAGTTTCTGAGCCCTATTGAAGAACTGATTAACTTCACATTTGTGTTGGAAATCCGAATCTTGTTCTTTATGCTGAGTGCAGATTTCGGTTGATGAAGGCGCATCTTGCCTTTCCGATTCTGACTGGCTCTGTCATCTTCATCCGTCCCTCCTGTAGTTGAAATGATGCTCCCTAGATAAGTGAAGGAAGTAACCCCTATTAAATCTCTCCCGTTGATAGTGATTGGTGCTGGTTATTGTCGTTGGTTGGTTATCTTCAACACCTCCGTCTTCTCTATGCTCACCTGGAATCCTGTCTTTGCTGTCATCTTCTTAGGCCAGTTTGTTGGTTTTGCTTGCCAGTCCTCGAGTTTGTGTGACATTAGAAAAGTCGTCCGCGAAGTTCAGATCTCCTGGAGTCTTCTTGTCGATCTAACCCATAGATATCTTCTCGCTTTCCACTCTTTCGTATAATCCAGTCCACCACAATAAAGAAAATCATCAGTGATAATAGGCAGCCAGCTTGTCTTACTCCTGTATTTACTTGGAACGCCTCGCTGAGTTCTCCGTTTTGGATCACCTGACACGTGGCATTGTCATACAGCTGATGAATGAGGTTGACAAAGTCTTGAGATACGCCGTAGTGTTGAAGTAGTTTCCAAATTACTTCTCGGTCAACACTGTCTGTCGAAGGCCTTTTCGAAGTCGATGAAGTTGAGGTATACGTTTCTGTGGTTTGTTCTGTGATGATGATGCGTACAGTTGCAATTCAATCACCACATGATTTGCCTTTCCTGAATCCAGCTTGTTCCGGTGGGGCGGAGTTTTGTACCCAGTGCATCCATTATTCTCTCCGGGATGCTGCGACTTAGCATCTTAATTGGCGTGGACAAGAGCACTATTCCACGCCAGTTCTGGTAGAGTGAGGCCCAAGTCACTTTTTCTTCCAATGGGTAAGCACCTACAACTTCCACTTCATCACCATAATGTAGAAGTTATGAATTCTTGCTTTTATGATTATCCCGTTATTTATTGTTATTATTATTTTTGTTCCCTTGGGTTCCGAGTGGAGCATAAGGCTTCAACAACATATCTCCACTTTGTTTTCTGCCATCCTCTTCAACTGGGTCCACGATTGCTCAAACTCTACCATGTCTTACTCACACGATCTCCTCCATATCGCCCTAGGACGACCCACTAGTCGCTTCCTATTTGAATTCCACTCGAGAGCCTGGCGCACGATGTCATTCGACGATGTACTCAATGTATGCCCAATCTATCTCCATTTTCTACTACATATTTTTTGAGCGCTCAACAAATATAATATTGGGTGTCTATGATGATTCTTTTTTTAGGATGGATATAAAATAAACAGAGCAAAAAGGGTTAGCAATAACGATAGGGAATGAAAACAAAATCATGGAACGATGAAATCACATCAACAAACATTCAGGAAACAAATTTTATCTTGCAAGCGAAATTGTAAAGCTGTTGTTTCAAATGACTTCCACATAGTTCCGAGGTCAAAAGTCAAAACAATGTAAATAACGGTCCGTTGGTGAACAGAAAAGTAGTTTAGGTACTCGGAAAGTGTCGAAAATACAGCTTTTCTTACCGAGAAATTATATGTAAAATATGGACAGTCTGAATAGTACTGATCTGTGTATCCCTAACTGAATAACCATAATGTTTTTTAAAGTTGTTCTAAATCTAGGCTATCGGAAACACGTGTGTTTATGTCCGGCAGCTCATTGTTCTTTAGTGAAGAACCATGAATTAAAGGCAGCCACATAAATTTCACATCGAAGAGCTTCACAATAAATAACAAATTAACAACACACGAATCGAAGTGATATGATAAACAGACAACGCTATGTATGTAATGATAATAACTCTTAATAATCGAAATACTTACTCAAAAGCAATAGTTTCACTGGACTTTCCACATTTAGCACAGATTTTCAGTGCGGATGAACAATTTTTACAAACAGTATGATAGGCTTGCTTAACAGTCTTTTCATTGCATTTCACACTGTAGTAAGATAAATCACAAAACAATCAAATGTGAAGTGAAATTTTAAAACGGCATGTAAATATATATATTTTTTCCATCACGTTCCCCAGGGGAACATAGGGCTTCAAGCTAGTGCTTTGAATTTTTTGGTGCAGTGTTTATTTTACAGGATGAGGTTGCTAGCCTCATGCTCAACCTTTCCTCTTCACCAGCATTATTTCTGGCTTAGCGAGGTAAAGAAGTGCGTCGGCCGGGGATCGAACCCCGGACCATGTGTATGGTCGGCGAGCTTCCTAACCACTATGCCACCGACGCGCTATATATATATATATATATATATATATATATATATATATATATATATATATATACAGCCGATAAAAAAATGAGAGCAGAAAACATAAACCGTGAATTTTGAAGTTATTTCTCCGACAGAATAAACGGATAAAATTAACTCCAGTGTAAACAAAGTCGAGATATACACAATAATAGAAGTGTTAACAAGAAAATAAAAGCATTACAAAAAGAAATTAATTTAAACTTGAACTATAATATGCTAACCAAATCTTGACGAATAGAGCTCTTAAATAATGGGTCTAAAGAACATACTATTCTTTTTTTGTCTGACCTACCTGAATAGCTTCAAATCTCAGTGTGATACTACGTAGTATAGGTTCAAATCTCAGAAGAAACAACAGTATACCTTGTGAGAGCACATGCGCTCTCAAATCATTAACTCTAAATGTCTAGTATCTAATAAAAAGTATTGTGATGTCAAATTAGCTAATGTAACTGCTAGGTTTCTGAATTAATCAACTAAAAAACAGGCCATATGATTTGTAATTTGACTATAGACTCATAAGTGTAAAATTACTGCCTATTTACGATTATTATTAATGATTAGCTTACCAGACTTTCGGATTAGTCAACTGATGATACTTTTTAAACTTAACTCTCCACTGTATAATCTCTGCACATCTAGAACACAGGTTATCAAAAGTCACGCTGTTGAGCTGTTTGATTTCTTTTGATGTATCATGCAAGTCGTTCTTGAAGGCTTTGGTATTTTTGTACTTTTGAGGGCGCTTACGCTGAACGTTACCCTTCTGTGTACTCATTTAAATTTCTGAAACACAAGCTTACAAAAATATAATAATCCATGGGAAAAAATGGTAAGCATGTTTTATAAAAAGTCAGCTACACATAGAATTTATTTGAAACACCAGCAGTCGGGAATAATTACAAACTCGACGGTCACTTAGATATCACGAGAACCATAACTCAGAGATGCACTGATTAGAATTCTCCCACTTAAAAGATCCAGTACCAACGACAAATAGTATATTAATTATCACTAGCATGTACTTTAAGTAGTAATAAGATTATTCCGATTGAAGATAATATCAAATATCTTTGAATTAAACTCCTACGAACTACTGACTAGCATATCTATGTGTTCATCCAACACTACCAATACATTTACGATAATTACAACCAAGTATTACGTACAATTCAGTAGGAATGAGTCAGAAAGCGTCGGCTTCTAAAAATGCTTCCAATTCGCAAAACTTGCAAAAAGAAGTCAATGATCTCAATAATTTTAGAAAACGCTCGCCCCCAACGCCAACGGTCCAAATTTAACATACCACAAGCTTTTGCTGGTACATAAAAGCTCAACAAAAACACTATTCCTTCATTCTTATATTTGTCTTTCTTACCTAGTTTTATGTTTATAAGGCTTTCATCACTACATTGAAACTGCCAGTGAAACACCACTTTAAGTCTGATTCTGAAGTATACAGGAAAGGTGATACTTTGGCAGAGGCTCGAAATCTACTTCAGTCAACTCGGAAAACTGAGACTTACAAATTTACACATTAAATTTCAGGGTTTACCGTACACTCTATATCTAACCCTTCCCCTAAATTCACATAACGAAACCGAAATAGTTACAAAATTACACTTTTGATCATGAACTAAGAATCACAACAATAGGAGATCCATTTCCTCTTTATTATCTCTGAAATTTCCAATTTCTTTATCGTCCCTTTCCTAAGTACCAATACACTGATGCCTTTTTTCATCGTTGCAATATAAATTCCCATTTCTGCACTTCGGTCCCTTCATTTGAAACATACCTATGATATAACCAGAACACTAAAGTCCTCTGATAAATCAATTATTTTCAATAACTTCCTATTTCTACTTTTTAATTATAAATACACGCATATTAGTATTAGATGAAATAATAGTCTGTTGGTTAACATAGTCAACTGAACGCATATAGAATGTAGTCATTTAGGACATAAGACAAAATGTGAATAGACAATTAAGTGACATACAAATGTATTTACAATGAACAAAATATGTCTCGGAAGTTTGAGTTATATCCAATCGTGTAAGAAAAACTGGAATACAAAAATATCAACAAACAAACAGAGCACGCTGAGTGCACGTTCGAGGGTCGATAGATAAAAAAATGTAATGGTAAAATGAAATGATCAAATAGTTAACTGTGGTCAAATAGTAATGATAAGGTACGCTTAGTGCAAATCAAAGGTTGACAAATGATGGTAGTAACTGAGTGAAGAAAAATAGGTGGAAAGGGAATTTTATGAACTTCGACCGGAACAGGCCGGATTCAGGAGAAACAAGTCATGCATTGATCAGATGGCCACATTACGGATCATCATTGAACAAAGCTTGGAATGGTAGCCACCTCTCTATCTCAACTTCATCGACTTTGAAAAGGCCTTCGACAGCGTCGATCGAGAGGTGCTTTGGAAACTACTTTGCCACTACGGGGTGCCGCCAACATTTTAACACCTCATCCAACAGTTGTTCGACAACACTGAGTGCCAAGTAATCTACAGCGGGAAACTCACGGAATCCTTCGAAGTGAGGACAGGAGTAAGACAAGGCTGCCTACTATCGCCAATGATTTTCCTGATTGCAGTAGATTGGATAATGCAAGGGTGACTTGGAGGAGGTCATGTGAAGAGGAGATGAAAACGTGTGGGCAGACTTGGAGCCAGGTGAAGACTCTAGCAGAGAACCGAACGCAATGGAGACGCACGACTGAAGACCTATGTTCCTCTAGGAATTAAAGGATACGATAATAATAATAATCCATAAATAATTCCATTAAATGTCTAGGAAGTTCATGAATACCTTATTTTAATTTGTGACATATTTCTTTCGAATGAAGAATTGCGTTTTTGAAAAGATTAAATTTGGCTAGGTAGAAATCTCTTGAGAGACGTCGCATTAGGTCGTACTTTACAACAACGCAGTGATTTGAGAAATATGTCACAAAGCAAAATATGCTATTGATGGATTTCCTAGAAATTTGGAGGAATTATTTGTGAAATACGTTCATGAAGTCTCCAAACCAGAGAAATTAAAACGCGAATAAAACTAACGAAAGAATTGGATAGAAATATCTGAATTCTCTTTTCCAATGACTCTAAACGGTATGTTTTCAACTTTTCGAATGCTTCCTCATATAATACTACTATGGAAGTGTTGTCAATTTCCTCAAAATTTTATAACCGAAGGATATATACTAATCATTTAAGGACAAAAGTGCAGTTTGAAAACGCTTATATCGAAACACAAGATTGAATGCTGTCTTCTAAATGTTAGAGAGATTTAAGAGTACCCCTGTTAACATGTTACCAGTACAACAATCGCAAGTTTGATATGAAAAACACGCTTACGAAAGAACATGAAGAATGCATTCGGAAACTAAAGTCGGATGATAGCCTTAAAACCAATAGTCCTGATAAGGGTTTGGACACCGTAATTATGAACAAGTGTAACCATATTGGAAAGACAAAAGCTTTACGTGTTGATATTTACTAGTTTCAAAATTGGGTAGCAGTGTCATTTTGTTAAGACTTTTTAATCATGAAAAATGAGAACTTAATCAAGATATCTTTTTTCGATTCTTTGAAACCCTCAGGAACTTATACACCCAGGTTTTATAGTACACCGGATATGCATGAGCAGGGATTTCCTCTACGTTCCATTTTGAACATGTCGAATTCACCATTTCATTCAACTGCGAAATGGCTGATAAATTTGCTGGAACTTCTAAATCACGATTGTAAAAAAACGTTTACCAATGTTGAAAACACTTAAGGTATGAACACAATGAAATAACATTCAATGCTGCAGAACTACACGCCAGTTACTCAACCAGGTAGATACTGACACACTGCACTTAAGATGAATTATAAATGATGCCCACATCAATATACAAATTTAACTACTGTGGAGCTAGTTATATAAGTCGTACTTAGAAAGATTTATTTTACGCACTCATGAACAAGTCCCAGTTTGGGTTGTCATACAAACTCGCAGAACAACAACCATCAGGTTGGCAGAAAAGGTAGCGAATCAGACTCTAAATGTACAGAGTACGTAGAGGTGCTGAAGATGGCTAACCAAAGACAACAAAAAGCATCAATTACTATCAAAAAGAAAGATCTAGAAGAAATCACCTCTTCCACTTATCTAAGCAGCATCGTTTCAGCTACACGTATGAGGATTTCAACTACAGCGTCGGTAAATCAAGACCGACGTTTATTGGTCTGAAATCAGTATTTCAATCTACCACACTCACCATACAAATAAGGTTTGTATATTTAACACTAATGCCCATTCAGTGCTACTAAATAGTTCCGCGAGTCGGTTGGCGCTTTATGAAAATCATTTTCATTCGCCTGTTGCCGTACTCGGTCGGAACTAATGGCTAGCTAGAAAAAGAGTAATCCAAATATCGCTGGATGTAAATTGTTGCGAATGAAAGAGACACTTGCAGCAGGAATTAACCCAGCCAGAATATTTCCGCGTAGCTGAAAGCAATGCATGAAAATACTGAGTTCCTTGAATGGACTAAAATTACATTTTAATCAGAAATCCCTTATAATAAATATCTGAAAGTGGGACCGAGTCAAGAAACGAGAGTCTAGAATACAGAGTGCAACTTTGTTGCTTCGTGCTGATCAGCATACTTAAGTTTGCACTTAAAAAATTTGTGATAGTCTGTATGAACGTATGATCTGTTTAACCTATGAGGGAGTTTAAATGAGCAGAGAACTTAGGTTCAGAAACACCAACGCAAAAATCTACCAGGTTAAACATAAATAACTCACTGATTTCGCGAAACACGCCCCAACGTTAAAGTAACGCATATCGATATAATGCCGCATTTGACTGTCATACATTAGTTCCAATATCCAATATCGTTTTTACGAGCTAGTATAGACCAATTTGATTTCTTTGTGCTCGCATCTTGATTGTGAGGTATAGGTTCCTGATCTTCGGTAAACTTCTGCGTAGCTCATCCCGCCACTCGACTGTCGTACATTTGGTTGAATCCAAAAGTAGTACTGTGGTTAATTATATGTTGTTTGTATTATGCGGTGTTTTAAGACTGTTGCTACTGTGAATCGAGTTTATCCTTTCACCAGTTAGTTCTCCGGTGTCGTCGTCAAAAGAAAACAGATAATAATAATAGATATAATTAGTGTAGGTTATTCAGACTAAAAGACAGAAAAAGAATGAAAGAAAACGTAAACACAGACAGCTAATTAAATTTGAAGTTGATATATATCATGTCAGTAATAAGAATAATAATAAGAATTGTAGTGGTTGGTTTTCAGGAGAGTAAGATGGGAGAGAATGTAAATCATCCAGTGCGAACTTTGAAAAGGAAGTAAATTTTACAAGCTCTTGTTTAGTTTTGGCTTTTGTTGTGTCACACGCTCCAAAAGTCTACAGATTAACTTTAAATCGGTTTATTCTGATCGAAGTTAGTTTACGTTTCAGTTTTCAGTCTACTAAATTATAGGAATTTGTGTTCTTATAACCTAAGAGTTATGTATATATATCCATTTTTGCGTACTTATTGGCTTCTTATCACTGATTTACAAAAGATATATATAAAGTCATATTTAAATCATTTTTCCCCAATTCGCTCTAAAAAGTATGCCAATTAAAAGGAAGGGTTATGTGCCAATTTCCAGTGGATGAGGGAATGCAGTGTGATAACTGCAAGAGATGGTCTCATATCATGTGCACCAACCTAACTCCTGCAGCATTCAAGTGCTACTGCAAATCTCCGGCAAACTGGTTGTGCAATGACCGCTATAGTACGACTAAATTTCGTATAACAGAAGCTATTGCCACTCTCAGTGGGGCCATAAAGCCCATGGACTGCAAGGGTCTTCTACCACAGGAGAAGACCGACTATTGCTCAGACACCGATGACGTGACTAGCGTCATCGACAAAACTGTACATGTTCCCGATGAGTCTCTGTCAATGAGTGAGTGCCCTTCAGCACAGAAGAGCACCCACCATATTCCAGAAACCTACGGTGCCCCCACGATACCGGATAAGCCCTCCAGCGACAGTAACGGAAAGACTGCCACGAAGAAGAGGCGTACCAGGTGTTGAAAACCTGCAACCCAAGTCGCCCAGGGACTGGTAGATCAAGCCTTATCCACACCGGCGAATAGCAGGCAGATAAAATCGACTACGATTATCGAAGAGGACGACAATGAATGGCGTAATTTAGTCTCCCGCAAAAATAATGGTAAGAACAACACACTGGCTACACTGCCCACGAAGGACAAAAGGACATTTAAATCGCAGAGCAAGAAAGCTACGGCAAGCAAACCTGATCTCTCTGACCGGTCGCTCATTCTCCACAAAGTGGAAGAGTCACTGGCCTCCGATTCCAAGGCCAGATTCGAGCACGACCTTAGCTTTGTCAAGCCCCTTTCAGATAAGCCACTGTCAAAAACAGTATCAGGCATAACAGTACATAGCGTATATAGAATCGGACAAAAGCCTGACCCTAGAGTAAATCAGCCTGTACGTCTCCTCAAGGTCTTACTAAACTCCAGAGAAAGGAGGGATACCATTCTGAGCGACTCTCAGATTCTTATAGGATCAGGCATATATGTCCGTGCCAACCTAAGCCTAGCAGACCGTGTCAAAAGACAGTCTGAGGCCCTAAAATTAAGCGAACGACGTCGAAACGGCGAAAAGAACCTTAAGATTAAGAGTTTTCGGGTTGTCAAAGTTCACGGTTTGGTGATCCTGAAACCTCTGTGGGTAGGCCGCCTTGAGCACAAACTGACTTGACACTCTGCTGCACAAACACCCACAGCCTATTGAACAAACGGACTGAGGTAGTTAATATGATGGACTCCGGAAATCTGGATGTAATTATCATCACAGAGATATGGCTCACACCTGATGTCACTGAAAACGAAGTTAACCTGCCAAACTTCGAAGTGCATAGGGTGGACCGACTAAACCGCAAAGGAGGTGGCGTAGTCATCTGCCTCAAGAAATGCTTAATCGTGCATAGCATCGAAGCACTCGCTCACGAAAGTGAATCGTGTGAACTTCTGCCCAGACTTAAATGCATCGGCCAAGCCATTGACCTGCAGTCCTGACTGTAGTGCAGATGACTTCCTAATAGAGAAGCTAGGCTCCTGGACATAGAAATGTAGAAGTCTCGCAATCGGCGACTTCAACACCCCAACAGTTGACCGGACGAGCCTTGCAACTCCATCCTCAGTCAACTCTGTCTATAATAAACTGTTGGAATCTGGTATATCGCTAACCCTAGTCCAACATGCCATTAAGCCCATGCGCTATGACTCACAGCACTCCTCTTCAACTCTGGGCCTAGTGTTCTCCCACGGTGAGGATGTGGATCTCATTCAACATCCTCCTTTAGGAAGAAGTGATCATGCTGTGTTCACTTTCAAGTTCACAGAAACAGCATCAATGGCCAAAACCCTAGCTCGACCAAACGTTCGGAAAGCTGACATAAATGCGATCGTCTCAGCAGCCAACTCAGTAAACTGGTACGTCAACCCAGAGTCCTAAGTAGAAGCCACATGGAACCAAATTAAACAACTCTGCGCCCAACTTACTGAACCTTTTATCCCTTGGTCCTTCCCAAAGGGTCGGAAACACTGCCCTCCTTGGATAAACCGAGTGATTCGTAAGTTACTCAGAGGTAAACACAAATGTTGGAACCTGTTTGCTTCACTTGAAACTCCTGAGACCAGGAAATTATATAACACTGCTAAGAATAAAGCTATTGCAGAAATCCGCCAATCAAGGATGAAGTTCGAAGCACATATGGCTCAAAATGCTAAAGCACCACCTAAGAAAATTTTCTCGTACGTGAACTTCAGGAATAAAACATCCATTGGTGTCCCAAACCTGACTATTGACAATGACACAATCGAAGAAGATCAAGAAAAAGAAGAAGCAATGGCAAACTACTTCTCCCAAGTCTTCACACTGGAGTCGTCGCCCCCTATAGGATCAGCTCTGGCTGAATCAGAGGAATACGGGATAGATTCAGTTGACATCGACGAAGACATCGTGCTCGACTGCCTAATGAAACTAGATGCACGGAAATCAATGTGTTCTCATAATCTTTATCCAAAGCTTCTAAAGGAGCTATCAGCTAACATAGACGGCCCTTTGACCACAATCTTCAAGCTGTCTCTCCTAAATGGAGTGTTACCGCGTGACCAGAAATACCCCATAGTCACCACCATCCACAAAGGAGGATCAAGACAAAGCCCTTCAAATTGCAGGCCTATTAGTCTCACCAGCAATTTAATCAAGACACTGGAAAGAATCATCAAGAAAAGCATCATGGTATACCTGGAAGACAACAAAATTTTAACCGCAGTACAGCAAGGCCTCCGAAGAAACCTGTCATGCCTGTCAAATCTCCTCACTGCAAGAGAAAACTGAGTCAAATCAAGGGATAACAGAAGTGTCGTTGACGTCGTCTTCATAGACTTCAGCAAAGCCTTCGATAAAGTACCTCGCAAAAGACTACTCATGAAGTTGGTAAGTCTTGGTATCAGAGGCAGATTACTTGACTACCTCAGGGAATTCCTCATTGACAGGAGGCAGCGGGTTAGGATCAACTCAAAACTCTCCTCTTGAACAAAAGTGCGTAGTGGAATGTCACAAGGCACGGTACTCGGACCTCTCCCATTTATTTTGTATGTCAACGTGTTATCTCTGCTCACCGACTCCCCTGTGATCCTATACGCAGATAACTTAAAAATTTGGAGAGAGCTGAAGGGCAACACTGATACGTCCACGTTGCAAGAGGACCTCAACAAATTGTCAGAGTGGTCCATAGAATGGATGCTCCCGATAAATGTGGCAAAATGTGCAACCATGCGCATCGGACATGCAAGCACCAGCTCCTACGAACTAGAGGGAATAACACTTCCATCAGTTCAGACTCACTTGGACTTAGGTGTCATAATTAGCCACGATTTAAAAACTACAGCACAATGTCCCGCGGTGGCTGTACGTAGTTTCAGGTCCTTATGGGCAATTCGCAGAGCCTTTACTAGAATCACCAGAGATATGTTCACTTCCTTATAAACATCTCTGGTGAGGTCAAGACCAGAAAACTGTATCCAGGCAGCCAGTCCTTGTCTCAAAGGGGACTCACATATTCTAGAAAGGGTTAAGAGGAAGTCAACACGTATGGTTCTCGGCATGACTAACTTATCGTACGAGGAAAGACTACACAGTTTAAATCTCTTCTCCCTGTCATACCGTAGGCAGAAAGGAGATTTAATTACTATGTTTAAAATTTTAAATAATGACTACGGAACTGACCTACTCTTTCTTTTCCTTCCCACCAGGTTGGAACATCTTAGAGAACATAGCAGGAGAGTTCAAAAGTCAAGAATAAATCATATTGCTGTTGAGTACGGGTTCCCATACCAAGTCATAAACTCTTGGAACCGATTCCCAGAAGAAGTGGTCTCTGCAACCTCAACTGATTCATTCAGGAAGGGTTTGGACAACCACAGAAATTTGCTAGAAAAGGATTGACATAGGCTCCAAGCCTTCTATCCTCAATCAATAAATCTAAAATCTAAATCTGTAAGGAATTAAAACGACGGATTTATTTGTCTACCCCTGAATGGTGCATTGGATCTTAAGGGGACAGGCCATTTGGACGCAGGACTTGTGTCACTACGTGATTGTTCAGCCTTCGCTTATAGGTGTCCACAGACGGTGACATAGCTACATCTACCGGTAAGTAGTTCCAGGGACAGCACACCCACAGTGAAAAGAAGTGGGAGAGCATCCGGACCGTCGCTCTCTGGTGAGCTATACTTCTGGGACTTCCACGAGGAAGCCTGTACCTAATCAATGGCAGAACACCTTTCTTTGGGTGATTCTGGTCATTT